GATTTGAGCTAAAATTACCCCTGAGGAGCAGTTCAGTGACACTTAGCCCATTCCCTCTGAAACTGCTCTCACAGCACTTCTCTGAACGGTTCGTGTGCCGCAACGGGGGCTGTGGAATTTGGGGTCAGTGGTGGTGGTGGTGACTCCCTCTCCATTTCTCCAGGTGGCAGGAGGTGCTCCTCCAGCCCGTGCCAGCACAATGGTGTGTGTGAGGACAGCATCCGTGGCTACACCTGCACCTGTGCTGAGGGCTACGAGGGAGAGAACTGTGCTTTTGGTAAGGCTCTGCCCCCTCCCGAGGAGCCCATCTCCTGCTGTCACAGGGTGTCCTTGTGAAGCCATAGGCAGCTCTCCCATGATGACACATCATGGTTTTGGTTAAAGCACACAGCTCTGGGCAGAGCAGGGGTGATGTGTGGTGCTGCCTGCCTACAAAACACTATGGCATCCTGAGGTTCTCCAGGCTGGCCCTGGGCCCTGAGCCTCCCTTCTCTGGGGATGCAGCAAAAGGGCTGAAACCAAACCACCTCATGGGTACCCCCAAAGCCAGCCCTGCCACTGCCACCTGCACTGCCTGGCTGCTGGTCCTGCTGTGGTCCCAGGTCCTGAAGGACCAAGGCTGCAGTGCCAGCGTGGCTTCCCAGGCACCCTGCTGCCTCCGAGGCCACACACACCCACAAGACAGTCCCTCGCGACAGGACTCCAAAAAACAAACCGTTTCCAGTGGAAGTAAAAGCATAAAGCAAAACAGATGCTTTCTGGAACAGGAAAATCCTGGGCCAGATATTACATTTTTATATCTGCCAGGTTCTACTTTCCAGCCCTTACATCAATATTTCTGCTGGTTCAGAGGTCCCCTGGGGTGGGAAACGCCCTGGTTGGAGCAAGGCAGGGTCATTTTCTGTATAAGGGGTGTGACTGTGACCAGCTCCTGGGGGAGCACAGAAGGTGACACAGCTTGGACCAGTGCTGGGAACTAGATCATCTCAGTATGAGCCTAAGGCATCCATGTTACACAAGATTTTTTGCTGCCTGTGAGCTAGGTCAAATAGCTGTCGCTCTGTGCTAAAGGTTCAAGTGTTTTCTCAGCTACAGAAAGTTGAACATGTTTCTAAGTTAATACTACCTTTCTTTTTTTCTCATCTTTGCTGGCTGATAATTTAAACAAGTGTGCAAAATGAGAGCTACGGGTTTGTTCTTTCTCAGGAGCAGAAATCTTAGTTGCATTCTTCCTCAAGCAATTCTCATCTTTATAACATGTGCAACAGTTCCCCTCGCTGCAGATACTTGGTGTTTTGTTTAGAAACCCATGGCATCCTTCCATGGTTCACATGGAAGACCCAGTTTGACCCATGGCTAATGCTCCCCAGAACTCAGGGGTGCAATGTCTGGTGCAGGGAGGTGCTGGGGGGAAGCACAGTTTGCAGTGGGTCTCTGAATACTGCAGAGACTCATCTCTCTCCAATTTCTGCCTTACAAGGGAAAAAAATCCGAGTGGTAAATACTATCAAGCTAGAGTCCCTACTCACCTCCACACAAAGTGAATAGAAAACAAACCATAGAGGACTCAAGCGATGAAAGAATACTCCATGTTTTTCCTCTGCTTGTTCTGTTTAGCTAAAAATGAATGTCACCACCAAGCAAAGGTGGGATGTGACCACTTCTGCTACCCAGGAAGTGATTCCTACCGCTGTTCCTGTGCTGATGGCTACGAGCTCGGGAAGGATAAAAAACAGTGCATTGCATTAGGTAGGTGTGAGCATGGATGTGCAGGGGGCACCTGCTCAGGCCTGGGGTGATCAGCCTGCTTCGAGCCTAAAGCAGTGTTACTGGGTAGAAGAAGGAATCTAGGGACCACCACCCAAGATATCAAAGTAATGGTAAAAGAAGGGCTATTTGATCAGAACATTTAAATATGGATCAGCAGAGAGGACTTGCATCACCCTACGTATCACTCACTGCACCAGGTTTTCCACTCCTGCGTTTGGTAAAGAGTAATTCTGCCAAACACCTTTTTGCTTGGCATGAGATTCAGTTGATTCAGGTGAAAAGTGATCTGATAAATGGAGACATTTGCTGCCAGATTAATTAGCTTGAAACAGTAGCCCTTTTTATTTTTCCAGTCTCATATTAGGTACCTCATCCAATTTCATCCCCTTACAAAGTAAGTCTACTATAAACACAGACATATGCTTAGACCTGTGTCTGTATTAGCACAAGCGGGGCAGCCAAACTGGAGTTCAGCTGCAGAGCCATGCTTTTGGTGGTGAAAGACATGTCCACAGTGCACACATCTGGTGGGCTTTACATCCAACTGTACTTGTACTCAGTCCTGTAGACTAAGCACCAGTCAGCTGTGAGAGAATGTCATATGTGCACCTGGAAGGTGTCCTGTGGTTTAGCTTCACCCGAACAGAATCCAGTGTGTGTGACCCAAAGCAAGTGGAAGTGTGACAAATGCAGACAACCAGGTGATCAAATCAAAAAGCACGTGTGTTGTTTGAACCAGAGGAGAAAGGCACACACATCCCTAGAGTGACAGCTGTAACAAGGAAAACACAGGATTTACCTGGGCCAGACTGGGCCACAGTAATCAGGTATTTGACACAATTTGAATAGAGGATACAAAGATGAAAAAGCAAGCTGTGATAATGGATGGCTGGAGAGGAAGCCTCATTTCATTAGTGACAGGCACAGTGAAACCTGGTCACTACAAGCCTAACACAGTGACCCAAAATGTTCAGTCCATTGCTAACTATTATGACTATAATTGCCAAACAAGTGTTTCTGATTTTCACCAGCTGAGAAACTGTCATTCTCCTTTTCCTTTGTGCAAAACCAGAACCCCAAAGTCCAGGTGGAACAGTAAGGCATTTCCACGTATTAGCTATCTTGAAATGATACAGCATGTAGTTTTAATTTTTACTTTTTTTTAAATTTATTTGTTAGATGCATGTGCATGTGGCAGACTTCAAGACAACGATAACCTTATATGTGAAACCAGGAAGAAAAGTGATGAGCGATTTCCTTGGCAGGTATTCCTAGCAATTCATGGAAGCCATTACTTACCCTCACATGGATAGCGCTATCTATTGTCTTTTTGCATTTTCTTAGGTACTGCTGCTAACCTCAGAAGGGAAAGGCTTCTGTGGAGGAGTGTTGCTAAAAAGTAACTTTGTGTTGACCACAGCAGAGTGTGCCCTTCTGCACAGCCGTTTTCAAATCAGGATTGGTGCTGGTAGGTAATCCAACACATTTTTTCTTGCTGCAGCACATTTCAGTATTGACAAACCCCACGTTCGCCTTTACAAGGCAAGCAGAGATGAGTGCCTCTTGAGCACTGTTCAGAACTCAGCACCCAGAGATCAGCTAAACATGGTGGATTTAGTTGTGGCTTTAGTTTGATGCCAAAATTCATGTCAGTGCTGACTATATTTATCCTCACTGCTGAAATTATGCGTGCTCCTACCAGCATTAAAAAGCTGCCAGTGTACCATTCGTTTCCCTTTACCGCAGAGGTTTTGAGGAAGAGTCCTTTTAGCTCCTCTGCTGTATGTCTCTCAGCAGGACCAGGCAGCTTGCATGCAGCTTTCAGATCTCTGATAAACATTCCTAAGAGCAGTGAAATGTCATTGCTCCACAGGGCCTAATGGAACAAGTGGAACCGGGAAGATAATGCAAGTTAGTGAGAAGCACATACACATCCGGTATGACGAAGACACTGGTGAGAACAACATTGCATTACTACAGCTTCAAGAGCACGCCGAGTGTGACAACCACCACCTTCCTGTGTGCACCCCTGAGAGAGACTTTGCAGAACATGTTTTAATTCCAAAACTGCCTGGCACGGTCAGTGGCTGGAGAATGGAAGGTGATGAACTTCAAGTCGAAGAGCTGCAGGTTTCCTACCTTCCTGCTGAGGACTGCAAACAAATTCTCAACGTCAGCCTCACAAACAGGCAGTTCTGCGGGCACCTCCAGGAGGCCGTAGACAAACGCCTGGCTGGGGGAAGCTTCTTGGTTACTGAGTACAAGGGCACATGGTTTCTGACTGGTATCCTGGGATCCTGGCCACTAGAAGACACTGACTGGGAAACATTGCTTTTCACCAACACTGCAAGGTATATGGTATGGGTTAAACAAAAAATAAAGTAAGACACAAACAACCAACTCTCAAGCACCAAGCCCCTATCAATCATAGCAAGGAGACATATGGAGGCAGCCAGTACCCCCATTTGACTACTACTATTTGCAGCAATTGAAGTTGCAACAATGACATGTATCTAACTCCAGTTTATACAAAAAGCCTGTTTGTCTTCCCTTCTGCTACTGTGAAAGTCATGATACAGTAAACCGAGTTACTGAACTAAAAACTGATTTAAATTTCCTAGAACTGTTCATCCTAAACCTCAAAACATGTTGAGTATTTTTCTGTGATTTTAAATGCTGCTAGTACCCTGAGGATTGATTCAGCAAATTCATACTCTTGTTTCAGGATCCATACAAGTAAAACTTACAAAGACATGAGGAATGTCAAGCTTTTAAATGTCTGTGTAGGACTTGGCATTTTTATCACTCTAAAAAATGTTTCCCCTCATACATGGAATCTATGTTTTCCCTTATGAATGATGCCCATGTCAGTTAAAGAGTAAAATAAAACCCAATTGTCAAAGAGAGGGGGGGAAAAAAAAAGTATTTATTTTAAAAGTAGTTTTAAAACCTCAAAACTATGATCTTATCAATCTGGATGAAGTTATATTGTACCACCCCCAAACAAACAAACCAGCCCCCAGGGTAGTAACATTTAAAATACTGGATCCAGTGGTAGTGTTTTCCCCAGAAGCAAAGTAAAACAGAGTATGGATAATTTAGCTACATGAGTTTTTGTTCATCATATCAAAAATTAAACAAAATATTACCAGAATTTTAAAAAATCCCAAAGCCATCAGTGGGCACCTACCACATTTACTCAACAGCATAACTAACTGACACAGTAAAGCTTTTGGTGTCAAACACTTCTCTGTTTTTTAGAGACAGTTTGAAGAGAATATTTAATACCAGCAAAATTATTGAGACTTAAAAAGAACTGGAAACCATGTAAGAAAACATTACTTCCACTCTGAAGAATGGGTTAACACAAGTAACAAAGGCTGATACTTCTCTCTGAAGAATAAACACAGAAATAGTAACATGAAGTACTTTATAAAAGCTTTTAAGTAGTTCAGAAGGAATTTGGAATGCTTTGCTTTATGAAATACTCTGAAATGATCTAGAAAGCCTGTGGAAATGACCATTTAAAAGTCAGCATTTCATTTCAATGCACTTTGTAACACTGGCAGCCTTGGCCATTCTGGGAAAGGAGCCACAAACAGTTCCTGGTATTTCAGTCCTGGACAAGAACCAGGCCATTTACAGTGTTCTTGGGGTCACTGGGAGCAGTTCCACTGGGCAAGTCGAGCATCTGAAGAGTACTTGCATGGCTAAGATGCAATACTCAACAACACACTGTTGACAGTGGAGGAAATGGGTTCTGCTTGCTGACCACAAGCTTCTGATGCTGATGGGATATGTAGCCTTTAATGTGACCCTGGCAGAAAGAAAAAAAGGCAGTGTTAGTACTTAGAGCTGGTAAAACAATCCCTACAACCCAAGCAAACACCTACAAACTAAACATAGCAAAGCTGTGTATGCTCACTCACCACTGCACCACTGTACTTAAATATCCATGAGGGTCCAGTTTATGTAAGTGGGTCACCTTGGGGAGTAAGCAGAAAGTTGGAGCCACCACCCTGTTTGTGTACTAAGGCTGCTGTCAGACTGAGAGCCTCCTGCCAGGGCCCCCTATGGGTCTGCTTACACTGCCTCGAAGAGACAGAGCTCTACAGAAGTGTTTCTAGATTCACTCTTGTTCACTTTAAAATGAGGATTTTAAGGAATTAGGATTCCATACCTAATAAACTAAATTATATAGTACTTCCTTTTCAGACATAGTGCTGTAACAGTGAAAGAAATCTCCTAGTTACCTAGACCACACCAAATGTTTCAGAAACAGAAAAGTGGTTAATTTTCTTGCTGACACTACAATGATGCTTCAAAACCTCTGATTGAATATAAATATTTAGATTTCAAGCTTTTATCCGTTCATAAGCAGTTGAGATTCATTTAGAGTAAGAGACAAAATGTGGAACAGAACCAAAGAAATCTGGCTCTATTGTTTTCTAATTTGAGAAGACCAAGAGTCTCCTACTTCAAATACTGAACAAATCTTTTTGGTGCCACTTGAGAGGTTTGTATTTTTAAATCGATATTTCTGCATATATAGAAATGTCAGTATTGAATTTGTTATGTGAAATTCAACTTCACTTTTAACTGATTCCTGCAAAAAAAGGCAGGAACAAGAAGAAGTCTTCAGGGCAAAAGAAAACATTTCACTTTGAGCACAAGTCCCAAAAAAAACCACAAGAAAACTTGGGATTACTGATGTGCTTTTTATAGAATATAGAATAACAAACTGTTATTCTCCATCTAATATTTTTTCACTTTTGGAAGTCTGGAAGTACCAGAAAATGAGTGGTCAGCACTTACCAAATATATAAGGTTAGCTAAAATACACTGGACTTCATCAATATCAACATCATCTACTTGCATGAACTTCAGAGCAATCAGAAAAGCATCTAGAGATAGCTGATGAGTTTTGAGTAGTAAATATCTGAAAGAAACAACACAAAAATGTGTTTTTGAGAAATAATCACTTAAAAATGCTGTTTCTTAGAAAAATGGCATTTCTACAATAAATTCACCTTAACAGGAAGTCAGCTCTCTCAGAGAAAACTAAGGAGCATATACAATTCTACTCAGTCCCAGGTGAAGCCATATTAAATCTGCTTTTGCAAAAATGTAGGTTTTGTTATGCTTACACTTTCTTGAAGAGATTCCTGTATGTGATGATTTTGAGCTTCTCAAGGATAAGAAAGATTCCACATCGAATAAAAAAGGTCTCATGCTTTGTCAGAGCATCATTCAGTAGAAGAAGATTTCCTTCACTACAAGGATAAAAAAATGAAAAAGTGAGAAGGTCTCACCCCTATGAGAAAAGAAACTATGACTTGGTAGGAACATAACCTCCCCTACCTTCCTCAATCACCCCAAAGAAACACTTTTTACTTAATACTTTCTGAACACAAAGCAGAAAAACAAGCATCATACCTCACAGACTTTGTTACTTCAGCAAACTGCATAAGGTCATACTTTTTTAAGAGCTGAACTGTTGGCATATGGCCCTGAAAAATAAATGGTGTCCAAGTTTTCCAGGGTAAAGTCAAATGAGTTTTAAATAGAATCTAGTAAGCTATAAAAAAAACCCCACTTGTAAAGAGAGAAAAGAGGAATGTTTAACCACTTTTTTTTTGGCTACAGAATAAGAAGTGAATAGAAGTATTTGTAAGACAACCCCCTTCTCCCTCTCAAACATCTTATAGCACAACTCACAACAACTACTGATTTATCATGATTTAGGGACAATGTTAGGGAACAACTACTGAACTTGTAGAATCAAGATTCTGTGACATGAGGCCTTGGCAGATTCAAATTTTATGTCACAACTGCATCATCTAATCTACAAACAGAAGAACTGCAGGAATCCCAAGGGAATACGAGCAATGCTTCAGCCTTGTTAAGTGCTATCTCAGCCTGTAACAGGCTTTTTCCTCCTCTATGGCTCCATACAGAAATAAAAATGTTCTCACAAAAAAACAAACACCACCACCATACCCTCCCAAAAAAAAAAGGCAGAGAAAGTTTAAATTTCAAGAAACAAAATTAATTCTTATTGCTAAATCAGGTAAGACAACCATCTACAGAATCAAAAGGAAGCTTTGTCTTTTATCCCCTGCATGGCACAGAGCAGAGTGCACACTAACTTGGTCAGACTTTAAATTTAGTTACATCATGCTATACTGTTGCTAACTCCTTTCCTGGATGAAGGATTAGCTGAGAGCAGAACTGAGCTGCAGGTTTACTGAGAGCTGTTAGGAACAAAAAAACCAACACACAATGTTTGGGCTCTGATTTAAAAAAAGCAACTGTAAATACAATGACCTTTATCTAGTTTCTTTGATGCCTCTTACACACTAAAACTGCTTTAAAAAAGCATAGTAATTCTAGGCACTAAGAGACCCACCAGTTTAAGGCACCCAGTCAGAAAGGCAGAAAGGTCACAAACAGGTCAGGGGAAGGCGGAAAATGGCAACTCAATGAAGGCAGGTGATAACATTTTCCATGGGTAACTTTGGTAACAGGGCCAGAAAAGTAAACTCCAAACTAGTTCCTGTCCTCTCAGTTACAAGGAATTAATACTCAGCATAATCCACTAATTCAGGAATACACAAATGTTAGCACAGCACATGGGAAAGGACAGGAGCAAGAAACAGATGTGCTTAATTCTTTTAATAGAAATATGAAATGATCAAACAGTAAGTCTTCACTGATTTTTCAGAACCAAATGCTCTGCCTCATGACCCTTCTAACATGCCTCAAATGGGAAAATGTACAAGTACAGATAAAAAAGCCAAAGACAGGCTGTAGCTGTGGCAAACCCTTCTCAACAGCCCTCAACCATCTGTTTGCACACCCTTCTTTCTTCCACCAGGTGAAAGAAGCAAACAAATTTGTTCTAGTGAATCCACACCTTCCCTGGCTTTTGTGTGAAGTTGATCAGCAGAGAGGCACTCTGCTACAAGACAGAAGTTACACTGTTGAGTGCTTCTCCAAAGAATTCAAATATACCTTTACTAAAGTAATAAGATGAGGTTGCACCCTTAGGAGGGGTGGGAGAAAGATAGGGGGAAAGGAGGGCTGGGTTGGTTTTGTTTGGGGGTGGGGTTTTCTTCTTTGGCTGTGTTATTTCCCCCTCACCTCCTTTCCTGTGTTGCTATAAATGACAACACTTTTTGCTCTCACATAACAAGGTGTGCGTACACTGCCTCTTACAGGGGTAAAACAGCCTCTGAATTCCACTAGGGGAAAACCAAGAAAATACTGACCATCAGTTTTATAATCTGCATGTGTACCCCCATCCCCTTATTTAGGAAAGTAGTATCTACTCACCAACAACATTTTTACTGGCAGCAAGTAGATCAAAATCATTCTTTTGTTCTTCTGGCTTGATCGGTGACAGTGCTCAAAGGCAAATGAGAGATACTCTTCAGCTGCAAACACGAGTAACATGAATCAAACACAAAAATGGATTAAAGCTGTAACCCAAATTCTGTGTTCAATGCCCATCTCTAACTTGAACACACAATATTTGAAATTGTATATAAAAGAATCACACCACTCAAAATACATAAAGAAAAATTGGAGATTCACACAAAATACAAAGTATTACCAGAAAGGTAGGTTCTCCTTCAGAAAGTCAAAGAAAAGTTGCCAAGACCTTGATGTCAGACATTACAGCTATAAGTAACACAGGAATTTTCATCTCATTTCAGTAGTATTATTGTGCTCCTATTACAGAAGCAGAGAATCTCAAGAAGCACTGATAATACACTCCATTTCCTAAATTCAAATTAGGTACTTCAAGAGATGAAAGCTGAATGCAATGCACACATGTCCTGAGCTGTAGAAATGTGCCAGTGAGACCACACAGCAGAACAGCACGAAAACCTCTCAGCAGCTTCCACAGATAGAGAAAAAATGATAAGCCTGACAAACAGAACACACTGTTTGGAGTAAGAGAACCAGCTCCAGAACAGATGACAGTCAGGGGCTTCAGTTAGTGATGAAGCTGAACACCTTAGCTCTGGAAGCATTTCTGTTAGTGAAATCTATTAGAAATTTAGGAAATGCAGTTTGTACATCTTCCAAAATCAATGGATCAAGAAACTAATTCTACACTACAGTTTGCTGAAGATTTCCTACATGGCACACAGCAACTTGAAGATTTGAAGGCTCCTCTGTGAAACCTTTACAAACCTATTCTTTTGGATGCTCACACATTTTGTAATGCACACACATAATGCGTAGGACTGCAAGAAACTTCACTGACACATATATTTTAAAGCTGGGCATATGCTACAATTAGAAGTGTCATGTAATCTCATCTCTTTCGAGTCAGCCTGTGAGCCTTGGACCTTTCAGCATGACTTTTCCCTGATCAATTGCATTCCTTGATCAATGCAATTTTGGGTCACACACACACACAACTTCAGCAAGATTTCATGCCAAGTAGCAAACATGTCTCACTGGCACACATTACCTTGCTTAAAGTCACTGTCAAACATGGCCTTGCGTCCAACATAGTATTTGTATGTAACTCTCTGTGCCATACTATACTCATCCTTCAGATTTGAGCTGTCAATTGCTCTAATTAAGGGCTTACAGAGATGGAGCTTGTTGATCTGTTAAAAAAAATACCATTTTAATCATAGTGTAGATAGATGGTATATAAAAACAGGGTGGGTTTGACTTAGAGTATGAAATACAGAACACAGCTTACCAGATTTGAACCCTACCTTAAAATAAATTTTAAACAGCTGATTCACAAGAAACAACATGCCCCACTTTTTTGAGTCTTCGATGCCTGCTCGACTGTCATAAGGAAAAAGAAAAAACCTGCTAGTACTGAACATTGTAAAAGAGTAATAACTTTGTCCTCGCAGTAAATTCATTCTATAGAAATCCACTCCATAGCATTTTTAGGGTAAACATAGGTGTAGCTCTGCTATATATTTTCTCAACATAATGGAAAGATTTCATGCAGAATATTATTCACCTGCATCAGGGTCCTCACTCCAGTCTACAGATAACACACACAAGCAGAGCAGTGGCTTATAATACGTGAGGTGAAAGAAAGACCCGGAAAAAAGCATTTTTTCCACTTCAGAAGTGTTAAAATTGCTAACACTAGAAACCAGAGTCACCTCTTTTCCATCTAATTAATTCTAATGGAGCAAACTTCACAACTAACAGGGCACAGAAGCATTAATCATCTTTCCTGAGAGACAGGGACATAATCAGTCCCTCCCAACAATACCTGCTAGGAATGCTAAACCTGAAGTGAGGGCTCTCCCTCTGTAGTTAATAGTCAAGAGAGAACAGCCTATAAATGAGAAGAGACAAGCCTCAGAAGTGTTCATTCTAAGACCCATATATGGTCTAAATAAGTGGGAAAATCTAAAGCGAAGTTCATTAAGTTCTTAGTAATTTACTAGTGCAAGTTCAACAGAGGGTCTTTCACTTACGTGTCACTGGCACAGACTCGGAAGCAGCCCATCAGCAGTTCTGCTGCTTTTTCCAACATGTCACCAACTTTGCTTTTCCCTTTCTTCACAAGCTGTTGATCTGCCTAGATTACACAGCAAGAAACAATAAGCAATTGTACATCATGGTTCAGTGGCTGCAAAGTTTAATTCCTTAATACAGCATTTTATAAAGTATTATAGAAAGAGATCTCTCATGGCTGCTATCTCCCAAATCTAGAAGACAGTCAAGCTCACAGAACAAAAGAAAATACTCAGAGAGGCTCCTGGACAGGTTTAACACTTGAATTGGAGCATTAACACTTCAACTCAAGTGTATGAAGACCAAGAGCCTGGAAAAAATTATGGAGTTTGAGTCTTAGAATTTATAATTCAGTTTCTCTCCACAGCCACAAAGACTAGATTTTATTTCTAAACCATATTCAACAGTTTCCAGTAGTAACACACACTGCTGGGACCTGAGACTTCCAGAAGAAAGATAAAACATACATTACTGCAGCAAGAGGAAAAATAAAAAGTTCATCTGTCAACATATGGGAAAGATCCACACACTGACTCATGCAGAACTTCAACAGAAAAAAACATAGCAAGTAGGTATTTATTATGTGCTTTCCATAAAGTTTTATTACAGTGTTTGCATTCTCACTAGCTGAAACATAAATAAAATAAATGGAAATGCATCCTTCTGCAGAAGTCTTCTCTGAAACCAAATCCTCTGAATACATTAAGGTTAGAGGACAGAGTTCAAACACGTCCAGCATGACTGATTCAACACTTCCCTTCCTTATGCATCTCAGAGACAGGGATTTCGCTCATTCAAACTGAGAACTGAGACTTGCTGCAGAGCAATCACACACATGAAAAATACTCCCTATGCAAGCATTCCACATGTGTGGTTTTGTGGGTAAGTGGGCACAAGAGAGTGATGAGAGGATGAACACTGAAAATACTGGATATTGTCAAACCCTAACCTAACTTGAACTCTAGCTTCAACTCTTCAGGTAAAGTGACTAGGAACAAAATAACATATCTGCCACTTACCTCAACCTAGAAGTTCTCAAACAGATCCCTACACAAGCTACTTCAATTCACCAGACTGGGAAAAATAATGTAAATTTGGGCATTATTTGCATGTCAGCATTTGTATGGGTCCACCAAGGGCTCCAAAGAGCATCAGAAGTGATGCACACGTCTGGAAAAGGGGAGCAGAAAGTTCCCTCTTCAGATCTGGTGAATGGTTAGATCAGCCTGGTTGCCTGTGATAACTCAAATTTCCACCAAAACCCAGAGATAATATGAAAATAGTGACTTATACCATGTGCTACTCAATAAAGAAAATATTTATCCCTTCATAAGTTCTAAGCAACTGCTGGGAGTTGCATTCAGATCCTCAGAACCCCTCTAGTTCCATCTGCAAATAGGAGGTGGACAGACTGAGCAACCTCATTTTTCAATAGGACTGGATGAATGTAGCGTGTCAACAAAATCATAACAATGAATTAAATAGAACTGAGCAAAATTAGACTGTGTAATAAATTCTATAAAAATATTTTGGAAATACCAAACAGATAAAAGTAATGAGGTTGTTAATCAGATGTACTTACATTATTAGCAAAAATTCGAAGATCAAGGGCTACAGAATACATAATAGGTAAGGCCCTGGAAAAAAAAAATCATAGTATACTTAGAAGATGCAAATCAAGCAATGAGTCAGCATTTCAGAAATCCTACACTACAATAATTATTTCTAATGTCTTTTTTACTGTGGCTTTAATAAAATTCCACTTCTCTTTGAACAAATCCTTCATATATTTACATATGGACCATTCCACATAATTGAGCTCAAATGTTTAGTTTTCACACTTTGGACATGAAAACTCAACCAAGCAACAAAGCCAATTAGGCTTGATTTTTAGCATCACTGGGGATAAATAAAACTATAAGTATAATTTTAGTTTGACTACAATGGTATTATACTATAAAAAGATGAGTCTATTTTCTAGTAGCTTTCTACCATGCACTCACCAATTTTCTTCTTTATGTGCCTGAAACGCTCGCAGGAAAGATGTATTGTATTGAGGGAAATTTAAAATGCCATGAAATGAAGCACAGATTTGAGAAACAGCTGTTCAGTGGTACAGCTTTCTTTCATGAAAAACTAAAAATCAAAACACCATCAAGAAGCTGAGGAGCCGAGTTGCAGTATGGAAGAACATGCGCATAGCCATGCACTCCTTTGAGTGGCACCAGCAGTATGAAAGACTGGCCAGAGATAAGAGAGAAGCTTCTTTATCATTATCTTCCCCTCTAGCCAAGTACAAACTGCAAGGTATTATAATGATTTGAGACTCTCCTATATTCTAGAAATTAATATTCTATTTTAGACCCAAGTAGAAAATTCCTTCTTAGCCCTTTAGAAAGCTGGAAGAATGTATGTGCTTGGAAACATAAACAACTGAAGTGTATTGGGAAGCAGACCCCATTCTATTAGATTTTTAAAAATCATACTTATTCAACAAAAAGTTAATCTGAAAGCAATATTGCAAGATTTATGGAAAAGGATATTGGACAATAACTGTTTGGCATTTGTATGCTTCTACGAAGTCGTGGTTTGCAACAGCGTAAGTACACCTGCCAAAGAAAAGGTGCATTAGTGCATCAGAAAATATACATAAATGACATATTTATTTTTGTGTCCTACCAGGCATGAAGTTTTACAGTTTATTTAAGGCACAAAGAAATGGAAGTATTCCTTAAAATTGGCACAAGTATTTTAATAGAGCAGTAAGTTTGATAATTGTAGAAAACAAATCCTAGAGATGAATAGGTATTTGTTTTATATAAGCTAACACTTATTGAAACTGTCACCAAGATTAGATTTTAAAAATGCATGACTGTTGAAAGAGACTAGATACAGAAAATTATTAAGTAAAAGCCTCACAGAATTACTTAGACAGTAAGCTCTCTTAAGAGTACTTTTATGATTAAAATTCCCTTTTAAAATTTTTTATTTCCCTCTAAATTCTGGTGCAGCTAGTAGGCAAAACAAGGTAAACAGCAAGCACTGACACCAAAGCTGTGTCAATGGCCACACACAGATGACATCCAGGTACATAGAGCAAACTTTATGTGGAGAGGAGAAAGAAAGTCTTTATTTCCTGCAATTCTAGCACTATTTATAAAAGTAATAAATACCAAGTTTTCAGGTGTAAGCCCTTTAAAACAGGCAAGTAAGCTTAAGGATATCCTTCCCCATCCCTGCTGTACACCTCACAAATGACTTTACATTACAGGTCTATCTTTACCTTAGGTGGGCTGCAAACATTTCATCATATGGAGATTCCAAAACTTGTTGACACTTCTCCTCTGGAGATGGAAGCTAAGTGTAGAATAAATCAATAAAACATTAAAGGAACATCCAATGCACCAGAAACATCATGTGTGATAGATAGAATATTTTGTCATGGCAGTTCTCACAGATTTGCTAGGGTTGGAAGGGACCTCTGAAGATCATCTAGTATGCATCTACCAGAACTTTAAATTACATTAACAATCATATCCAGAGAAATTAATTGCTGGTGTGCATTCTGTCTCCAGAACCTGAACAGAGCTAGCCCTAAGTAAAAGCATCAAAACACACAAACACCAGATCCTTACTACCCACTGCTTTTTCCTCAATAGTGCCTTACACTGTGCTATGCTAATAACTAATGCAGACCTGGTCAGAAAGGATATTCAAAACTGTATCTATCCAGAAAACAATTCAGAGTGGAACACAAAGAGCCAACTGGAAAACAAAACTTTTACACAGTATCCTTGTAAGAAGAAAAGGGAAGCAAATCTACAAGGGGATCATATCTCAGCCTGTGAAACAGATTTCTGAGGTTTCTCTCCCATGGAAAGGAACCCACATATAGAGCTAGGAAAACTGAAAGTACAATAAAAGGTCAAAAAACAGATCCTCACCTGCAGCCTTGGGTTTGCAACATGTGGGTGTTTAAATGACACTAATTCTGCACAAAACGTACCATCTCTGGTCTCAATGGCTTCTTGTACCTACCAAAGTAAACAATCACATAGCAGAATAAAATCCAGCAACAGGCACACAACATATTTACACAACTACAGAAGCCACCATCTAGTCACCACTGTTCTTACATAGTAATATCAAATCAAATGTGAGTTTTTGAAGGCTTAAAAATGAATAAATAATTCTGTATTTCCAATACACCTGTTGCTCAAAAAGGTCTCAGGGAGAAGGTAGAGAGAACATCATTGTGTATTTTTCCTTATTTGTAGGATGCAAGCATACCCTGTACATGGGTTTAGCATTGTAAAACAGCAGTTGAGCGCCAGATTTGGTTATGCTTTTTAAAATTCCAGTTGGACTTATAGGCATCAAACACAGATGCAAAGGCATGATCTTTAAGAAATGCTTTAAAAAGACAACAGGCAGATTTAGCATGTAGATATCATTCCAAAGGCAATGCCTGATATTAGACTGGTATTTTATTTATATCAAATGCTTTTGAAACCTGCTAAGACTGTAAATGTTATATTATGTAGAAGAATGGTTTAATTCTGCTTCCTGCTAAAGATAACTCCTTGTAAAAAATAGTCTGCTTGGACAGGTTATTGTGACATCAAGGTGGAAATTTCTTCAGTTATGGAAGTAGCTTTAGGCATTACTTCTAAAGAGCTCCCTTCCCACTGCTTGAGCTTTGTCATATTTTTGTGTCCCAATGTGAAACAAAATATTTTTTTGATGTATGGAAAGCTCATACCAAATGGGGAAAAATCCCATAGACCAAAATAGCAACAAAAGAGCGAAAATCAACTGTTCAAACTCTTTCAGAAATTTGTGTTTAGCTTTTGTTTAAGGAAAAAGAAGAGATAATTTTATGTTTGCCAGATAGTTTTCCATATTGAATGTTCTTCAATGAAGTGTCAACCGAAAAATGTGGACTTCTCAGAGCAGACCACTGTCCTGGCAGATCTCAGATGCTCCATTTTTGGAGACTAAAATCCAAACAATTTTTTGTGCCTTAACGAATCGCAGATGAAGATATACGGCAACAGTGATGAGAATACGACAGTCCAGCAAGAACCATGCAGAATGGACACACAAAAAGCTTGTCACTGACAGCTCCGTCCAGCTGGAATCCCTGCGGCTCTGCTCCTGCCTGTCCATCCTCCATTTCAGCAGTGTGTCCGCACTTCTGTGCGCCTCAGATCCCTGCATCCCTCCAACCCCTGAGCTGCACCTGCTCCTGGACACACACACAACCCTCCGAGGCGGCTCTTGCAAACAAATTACCTCAGAAACCTCCACACTTTGCAGCCATTCCAGGGGTACATCCTTGGCACTCACACGGCGTGTGCTTCAGGCACACTGAAGAAATAGATTTCCCCACCACATCACTCATCCTACGTTGATTTATTCTTAGCCAAGGCAGCATATTTACAAGGAACAGGAACGCTCGCGCATACTCAAACAGGGCCCACAGACCAATTGTAAAAAATCAATAAAAAAATCTTGCTTACTTGCTGCAAGTACTGATTTATGGTGATGTGCGCCATGAAGGGGTAAGGGGATGAGGCGGGAACCCCACACCCTTGGCACCCTCCGAGCCCCGGAACTCCCGGAACTCCCTCCGCGTTTCCGGATCCCGGCACG